CTTCAGTATAAGTCAGTGCATGACAAAGCACTGGCCAACCTCGCAAAGAAAACATGTTGACCTCACAACCACCCTGACCAATCACAAGCCGAATCCCACCCACTCTGGTCTACTTTAATCAGGCAGGGAAAGGTCAAGTCAAATAAACGAAATCCTTAATTATGAATTGCATCTTTTTATATAACTGAGGAACAATATATGAGTAAACAGTTTAAGTAAATATTCTAATAAGAGAACAGAAGATTCAGAAATCTGTGGTATGTTATGCATCACACCAGAACCTTTCAGTCATATTCAGGGTATAAAGTACAGGGTGATTTACCATTTTATGTTCATTGTGTTTGTATTATTAGGTTATATTAAGTCTGTTTAATGTATTATGCAAACATTTTGATAAGGCACAGTGTATTCATTATAAATGATAAAGCTCCTATAATTAAAGATGGATGACATGTAAAATATGAATTTATCAACCTTCATCTTTTAATCAGAAATCAAAATTAAATAACTTAAACAAAATTAAATAACTTACATAAACTTTTTGAGTGTATATTTGCATAATAATACTAAACCATAACTGCTAATCATATCTACACTACCATTCAAAAGTTTGGGGTTATTAATATGTTAATGTTTCTGAAAGAAGCCTCTTACGCTCACCAAGGCTGCATTTATTTGATAAAAAAATGCAGTAAAACCAGTAATATTGTGAAATATTACCATTTGAAATAACTATTTTCTATTTGAATACATTTAGCATATTTATTGAGTAATTTATTGCTGTGTTTGCAAAGCTATACTCCAGTCTTAAGCGTCACATGATCCTTCAGAAATCATTTTAATATGCTGATTGGTCCTCAAGAAGCATTTCTTATTAATATCAGTGTTAAAAAAGTTGTGCGGATTTTGTAAAAACCATGATGCAGGATTCTTTGATGAATAGAAAGTTGAAAAATAATGTCACTTTTGATCAATTTAATGCATGCTTGTTGAATAAAAGCATTTTCTCATAAAACAAAAAAAACTTACTGAACCTTAACTTTTGAATGCTACTGTAAATTTATTACACTACCATTGACTAACACTCTCTGTAAAAACAATCATGTCATGACATGTTTTGACAACAAGGTGGAAAGAGCCACAGAGGATTTCCTCCTTGAACTAAGTGTTCCAAGCCAATAGAAAACAAACAGATGTATGTCTCCATCAAGTGGACACATCTAGAATGAGGTGCTGTGTTTAGTGTCTGCAGTGTGCTGGAAAAGAGCCAAAAAAAAAAACACAAAGCCAATGGAAAATGTATCCCTTAGTTAATTTCCCTACGATTAATTTAAGGTGTCTGTCCCACACTATTGTCTATCTGAAGATCTGAAGTCATTGCTGCATCCAAGATATAGTTATGTGTTTTGTGTTTTGGTGTTTCACTTTGTAAAGCATGTAGATGGCCAGAAGACAGACACGTAGGTAGAGAGGGGTTGGGCTGTTTTGTGAAATAAGAGTCACAGCTGCTCCTGTTACTCAGCATTAGTCAATCACACACACACACACACACACACAAACACGGATATGTAAATGCAAATATAGGCAAATTCACACCTGCAGACGTGGAAATGTGAACATAACATCCTTCTCTCAAAGGATTTCTCAGCTTAACCTTTAATTTAAAGCACTTATTTGGTCCCACATTTAGGTCCCCTTAACTACTTTGTACTTTCATTTAAATTAATAATTTGATACAATGCAATTATTGTGTACATATACATGTTTTACATTGTTCTTATATTTTAAAAATACATGCATGTAATTACATCTGTAATTAATTTCTGTAATTACATATTATAATTGCACTGTTGACCCATCCCTTACACCTTAACCCACCCTTAAACCTACCCATACCACCAAACCTGTCCCTAACTTTACGCGTATCCCACCTCAATAGCAGCAAAAGTGTTTTGCAACACAATATGAACACAATAAGTACATTCATTGTACTTATTTTTTGATGTAAGTACATAGTAATTAAGGCCACCTAATATAAAGTGGGAACGCTTATTTTTTTGTGATTTCAAAATGTATCTTATACACATAAAATAAAACATGCACACTTGTACATCTTCTTTTACAAAGAAACAGACAGACCTGATTTACCATTTAAATTTATTGATCTAGTTTTCATCTTTTGATACAGATGAAATAGATAGAAATAGAAGCAGTACAATAACTCTTATATATTAATATCCACTAAACTGATAAGTATTCTTGTTTCATGTTCAAGCCTATATCTTAATAAATAAGATATATTAGCATGATCAACTTAAGTAAACCATGATTATAAACTCAGACTACAGCAGTGGGCATACAGCATAGATTCCAGTGCATTAAGACTATAATCTGTCTTCTCCCCTGAGAATTACAACTGTTCTAGACAAACTGTTCTAGAACTAGAATTTCTAATCAAGCTGTTTTAATCACAGTTTTTAAATATTCATATTTTGGTGTCTTCTCCAGAGCGAACATATTTGATACAGGTTTAGTCTCTTGTACATTTGTGACCCTGGACCACAAAACCAGTCTTAAGTTGCATGGGTATATTTGTAGCAATTGCTAAAAATACATTGTATGGGTCAAAATTATCAATTTTTCTTTTATGCCAAAAATCATTAGGATATTAAGTAAAGATCATGTTCCATGAAGATATTTTGTAAATTTCCTACCGTAAATATATCAAAACTTAATTTTTGATTAGTAATATGCATTGCTAAAAACTTCATTTGGACAGCTTTAAAGGCGATTTTCTCAGTATTTTGATTTGTTTGCAGCCTCAGATTCCAGATTTTCAAATAGTTGTATCTCAGCCAAATATTGTCATTTCCTAACAAATATACAACATACATCAATGGAAAGCTTATTTATTCAGCTTTCATATGATGTATAAATCTCAATTTCAAAATATGTACCCTTATGACTGGTTTTGTGGTCCAGGGTCACATTTGATCTGTAGAGTATAACTATATGTCTTATTACAGGTGTGGGGTGTTAGCATAAGGTGACCGCACAAAGTTGTCAGACCTGCACAATGGCAAACAAAAGTCGCAAGCAGCCCAACAATGCTCTGTCAAAATTGCTGAAACCTTCCGGTTCTAAAAAGTTGTCCAATTTTGTAGACAACCCAGCTCAATCTATTAAAGCAGGATAAAATGTACATTGGGTCCCTGTCAAGCTCAGAAACATTATGTGCAAATAATCATTCTGTCTAGATTTTAATACTACGCTTGTGCAACACAGTGCAATGTAACAGATTCTTTATCTCATTATAGGATACAAACAGTATTAAGTATGAGGCTTTAAAAACTCAAGTTATTAATGAATAACGAATGAATCCCTGTGAATGATGAAATGCATAAAAACTGAAAAAATGCTATAATATGTCCTCACACCTATTGCAACTATTCGGCCTGCCTGACTTTGAAATTGGAGGACAGAACAACAAAGACATAACATATTTTTTGACAGCCACAACATCTGATTCGTCAGTGACCTCAATTTGCCATTCACAGCAACAGAAAGACATGTTCACACAGAAATTCACAAATATTGTTAAACCACACCAAACTCTCAGACTAAATAACCTGTATGTTTTGTCAACTGTTTTTTTCACTAAAGCACATAACACACTCTCTTATAAGAGCACCATTTACTGAAAGAAAATTCAACTACCCAGCAGAAAGACCAGTGACAACTCATGGCTGTATACAGTACAATAAAGCTGAATACAGCCAACTAGTAGCACTTTCTAGACCGGCACCTGATCGAAGTTATTCATAACTATAATTTACCACAGACATTTTTGTGTAGCCCATGACTACAGTTCTTCAAAACTGGCCTTTACAGTAAAAACAGTACTTGCTGATATGTTTTTCAAGAATATGGCTTCGTTTGTCTCCTTTCAGTCTCACCACCAAGGCCTTCACCCAAATGTCAAGTCATAGAGAAGCGTATACAATCAATAGCAATGCATAGGTACAGTAGATTATGATATAGCATTTCAACTCAAATCTACGGTTACCACCTGTGCTGCCACACACCTTAATTAAGGTCTATAATTGAAAGTATTGATAGTACAGAGTGAAATGTAAGGTTCATAAAAACTGTGAAGGGTGTAGTTTAGCACTGCAGTGACGTATACTCCACACCTCTCATTTCCCTTTACTTCAAACACTTTGGCTGAAGCTATCTGTGCTTGTGTGCACTTCCTGTTTAAAGGGTTTGTAAAAAAGAAAGAGGAAATGTGAGTGGGCGAATGAGAGAAAAAGCCAGACAGCGATAGATAGATAGATAGATAGACTGAGAAAGACAATTTCAAAGATGAAGAGTGTTACAATATAAGGTGTCCTAGTAAAAGCTCAATAATGCGTCATTTTAAACCCTTCTCGAGTGAAAATTATGAGAACTTTCTGGAACCACAAAGTAAGTTCAACAATACAGCCCCTGGGGAGCAAATGTGGCAGAGTCAGCTTACTGATTGCAGAGCAGCAAGGACTTTGACCACCCGACAGCAAAAAGCAGCCTCCCTCCAAAGTCCTTACAATGAAACCTGCTAAAACATTGACAATTTTTGTCAAATAATGCCTACTGTGCACTTTTTTTTTTTCGGTGGCCATATCAAAAGGTATAGTTCACCCAAAAAATGAAAATTGTCCTCGTTTACTCACCCTCGTTTCATTACAAAACTTTCTTTCTTCTGTGGAATGCAAAAAGCTTAAAAGATGATCTCAACTCGGAATATAACAGTAGTCATATGGATTCATTTCGTGTTACCTTTATGTCTTTATTAGAGCTTGAAAGTTTTGGGTCCCATTAAAAAAAAAAAAATTATCTTGTGCTTTGCATAAGAAAGAAAGCCATATGAGTTTTTAGACAACATGAGGGTGAGTAAATAATCACAATTCCAAATTTTTGGGTGACTGATCCCTTATAAAATTATTGAAATTACAGAGTTCATACTTCAGAAATCATTGAAACATTGTTCAAAAATGAAAATCCAAAACAAGATCTTTAAACCTGACCAGCATACAGTGTCTCTCCTAATGTACCTTTAGCTTTTTTTGCTCTGGTGCGTAGATCTGATACGCCTGCCAACCAAAACCGGCTATAATGCATGCTATGCACCCCTGCAGGAGCAACATGACCCCATAGGTGGACCAGAGTGTTGGTCCAGGGAGCCTAGGTGGCATTGCAGGTGATAGTACCAAAGTTGGGTTGAGAAGCAGGGCCTGCATCTCTACTTTGATCATTTGCAGCTCATCCAGGATCGACAGGAAGGTGCAGCAATGGAACCACTGATGGCTGTGACCCCAGATATCAAAGTTCCCTGGAGAAAAACGTTCTGGGATCTTACTGATATTGAAGAGGGCAGATACCACCAGCCAAAAGCAATGGCGGTAGAAGAAGGCAGCCATGGTGGAGAACAGATGAAGGGAGGAGGATGACGGCGAGCTCGCGGAGAGACGGTAGAAGACAGGAGTGGAGGAGACAAAAAACGGAAGGAGGAAGACAAGGGTGCGGACAGCATAGCGGTACCTCCGCCAGCACTGTCTGGTGTTACAGCAGGTGATGATGCATATGATAGCGACGAGACAGGAGGATGGGATGTAGAGGCTTTCAAAGAACAGCTGGAACTGAGTGGGAGAAGATGCCGAGGGCCAAGCCTCATCATTAGCGTTTAGGCTCTTCCTTTGGGTAGAGTTCAGCCCCCCGAATCCAATCTCTGGTATTCCTGCTTGAGGATGGATGTAGTAGTAATATGCCAGTGAGGAACCCACTGTATACGCACTAATAGTCCCATAGTCCACAAAGAAACAGATTTCACGAATGATGAGTGACATGGAGTTGAGAAGATGAGCCAGGCTGCTGGCTAGCAGCAGGTACAACACCCCCAGGAAGTAGTTCCAGAAAGGGTAGAAAAAAGGATTGCTAGGTTCCGGCGCTCCTTCCCACGTGAAAACCTCCAGAAAGTGAAAGGCAAACACAAAAATGGGGAGGAAGTGTGTCCAGAAGTTTCCGGTCTCATTGGTGGGATGAAAAGCAGAGACTAGGCACTGCCGTAGGCTGTAGTTGGGGAAACGATAACCAGACAGAATGAAGTTCTCAGTCACTCTCGGTGGAACGTCAGTGTGACGTAGTAATGGAAGTGACAACATGATTGGACCGACCAAAAGACGAATTCACTGATTAGCAATAAAATTATCTCCTGAGCTTAGATTTATTAAAATGATAACATACATAGCTAGCACTACGATGTTGAAGGTAGTCGTTAAATAACTAGTATTGCTTACAGAACGCTTGACTGTCAAACTGAATGACATCACGGAGGCAAAACTGTCATTTTAATAATCCTTTAGAAGCATTTATGGAGTTCATGTGCAGATTTCAACTGGCAAAGGCAAATCTCATGGCTCAATACAAATCCCAACAGCATGTGCTGAAATGACTGTGGTTTTAGCAGAAATAAATAATCCTGCTGTTGCAAGTGCAAAGGTCAGTGGCTCCAGGGTCCCCTTTTCCCGTTAGCTCAAGTCTTTTCGTCTTAAAACTATGAACGATTACAAAAAAACAATCGCCGAGGATGCTTCTCTACCACTGTTCAAGTCTTCCAAGTGATCGATCACCTGAGGTCCACACGACTTCAGGTCACACATCAAACAGTGAGCTCGTTTTTCAATGCGGAAGGTCTCGTTTGCTTCTCACTGCTGCTGCATCTCTCCTGCATTAAAGCTTTTGAAAGTAGGTCATGTGGGACACCGTCGGGCACCGGCCGGTCTCTGAAAACAGTGTATTATTCATGCTCCGCCGTGCATAATTCACCGGCCAGATTATCGCGTGCTGTCTCATATGAAGATGCACTGCTGTAGATTAGTAGACGATCTCGAAAACAGTCTCACGGCGAGAAGAGAACATTTCTCACGATTCAGCTGTCTGTGTGGCGGCTAATTCCTCTATTTTCGCCCATGTTAAATGCAGTTGTGCTGGTTTAAGCGTCTCTTCGTTCGACATTCGCATTGCGGTGCTCTGTGATCCGGCACGAGCTCTTTTCCAGGAAGGAGATGTTTCGTTTCTGCTCGACAGCACTTCTAAATAAACAGTCAACCGGCGTCTAGTCCCTTCATCATTAGATTGCCCTTGACTTCTTGCACAAATGCCGGCTGTGGGCTGTTGTAGGACTGTCTGTCGCTCTCTTGTCCGGCCGTTACTTAATCAGGATAAAAGCGTGTGTTGCCAGCTCCGGCAAAGCAGCGCAGCACTCTTAACGTGATGTGTGTGTTTGTAGTCATACGAGCTGTTAGAAGTGTTCAACAAATTCGCCGTCAGCAGGCAGTGTCTCTCTTTATCTGTCTCTCTCTCACACGGACACTTATGTATGCTCTATCTTTCTCCCCCACGCGCTAGGCAAAACACTCGCCGAAGGCTATAGCTTCTGACCTGAGTCATGACTGATTTCAATAGAATGTTGCAGGCCTTATTTTATTGCAAAGTTAATATACGTTACAGTATGTCAAATGACAGTTTTGTATTTTAGGTTAAGCATTTGTCTTTTAAACTTTTAAACAGCAACAAGCCACAGACAAAAGGTTATGTTAAACTACTTCATATTTTGTATATGATACATTGTAGCTGTAAATTGACATCTGCAGCTTTGTGTTTTAAAAGAGGCTCAGATCGCAAACGAAAACTTGTGCTCGTGCAGATTTTTGTTTACACATGTGCAACAATATCCGTTCTCTGTCACGAGTAAAAAAAATCTAAAGATTTGTTACAGTGTAAACGAAGCCTTATTTACACAATACAGTGCTAGCTGAAGTTTCTCACTCTGCCTTATAGCCTATATATTTATATATACAGGGTGCGATTTGCCGGGGGGGGGGG